GGAATTGTAAAGGAAGATACAAAACTGCCAACTGTTTGCAGATGACATGACACTATTCATAGAAAACCCTAAAGACACCACCAAAAAATCATTAGAACTCATCAATGATTACAGTAAAATTGCAGGAGACAAAATTAGTATAAAGAAATCTGTTGCGTTTCTATACACTAACAATGAACTATTAGTAAGAGAAATGGAAAAAAAAAATTCCATTCATAATCTCATGAAAAAGAATAAAATACCTAAGAATAAATCTAACTAAGGAGGTAAAAGACCTGTACTTGGAAAACTATAAGACACTGATGAAAGCAACTGAAGATGACACCAATAGATGGAAAAATATAACATGCTGAAGGCTTGGGAGAATATTGTTAAAATGGCCATATTACCCAAGGCAATCTACAGATTCAATGCAATCCCAATAAAAATACCAATGGCATTTTTCACAGAACTAGAACAAATAATTGTAAAATTTGCAAAGAAACACAAAAGACATGAATAGCCAAAAACAATCTTAAGAAAGAAAAACAAAACAGGAGGTATTATGCTCCCCGATTTCAAACTATACTACAAAGCTGCAGTAATCAAGACAGTATGGCACTGGCACAAAAACAGACACATACATCATTGGAACAGAATAGAGGGCCCAGAAATAAACCCATGCACCTTTGGTAAATTAACCTACAACAAAAGAGGCAAGAATATACAATGCAGAGAAGACAATCTCTTCCATAAGAGGTGCTGGGATAAATGAATAGCTGCATCCAAAGAATCAAACTGAACTATTTTCTGACATCATGTACAAAAATAAACTCAAAATGGATTAAAGACTTAAATTTAAGACCTGAAATCATAAAACTCCTGGAAGAACCACATAGGCAGTATGCTCTTTGACATTAGTCTTCGCATTTTTTTTTGGATACGTCCCCTCAGGCAAGGGAAATAAAAATAAAAATAAATGGGACTACATCAAATTAAAAAGCTTTTGAACACTGAAGGAAACCATCAACAAAATGAAAAGGCCAATCAACTGAATGGGAGAAGATACCTGCAAACAATATATCCAACAAGGGGTTACTATCCAAAACATACAAAGAACTTACACAACTCAACATCAAAAAAAAATCAAACAGCTCAACTGAAAAATGGGCAGAGGACCTAAACAGACATTTTCCAAAGAAGACATACAGATGGACAACAGACACATGAAAAGATGCTCAACATCACTAATCATCAGGGAAGTGAAAATCAAAACCACAATTAGGTAACACCTAACATCTGTCCAAATGGCCATTATCAAAAAGACAACAAATAACAATTATTGTTGAGGATGTGGAGAAAAGGGAACCCTTGTGTACTGTTGGTGGGAATATAAATTTGTGCAGCCACTACAGAAAACAGTATGAGGATTCCTCAAACAATTAAAAAATGGAACTACCACACTATCCAGCAATTCCACTTCTGGGTATTTGAAGAAAACGAAAACACTAACTTAAAAGATACATGCATTCCTATGTTCACTGCAGTATTATTTACAACAGCTAATATATGGAAGAAACCTAAGTGCCCATTAATAGATGGAATAAAGAATAGTACACATATATATACACAATGGAATATTAATCAGCCATAAAAAAGAATGAAACCATTTGTGAAAACATGGATGGACCTAGAGGGTATTATGTTAAGTGAAACAAGTCAGACACAAAGACAAATACTGTATGATATCACTTATATGTGGAATTTAAAAATCAAAATAAATGGAGGGGAGGGTATAGCTCACTGGTAGAGTGTGTGCCTAGCATGCATGAGGTCCAGGGTTCAATCCCCAGTACCACCATTAAAAATCAATCAATCAAACTGATTACCTCCCCCCACCAAAAAAAGAAAGAAAGAAAGAAAATCAAAGTAAATGAATAAATGTAACTAAACAGAAACAGAGTCATAAAGAGAACAAACAGGTTGCTGCCGGAGGGAAGGGGGCTGCGGAGAGGAGAGTAATCGGTGAGGGAGATTACAAACATTCAGTTACAAAATAATGAGTCACAGGTATGAAATGTAGTGTGGGGAATATAGCCCATAGTGATGTAATATTTTTGTACAGTGACAGATGACAACTAGACTTATCATGGTGATCATTTTGAAATATACAGAAATACTGAGTCACTATGTTATTACCAGGAACTAACAGTGTTGTAGGTCAAGCATACTTCAAAAACAAACTCAGAAAAAGAGATCAGATTTATGGCTACCAGGGTCAGGTGTTGCAGGGAGGGAGAATTAGACAAAGGTAGTCAAAAGGTGCAAACTTCCAGTTATAAGATAAATGAGTACTATGGATGTAATGTACAAGATAATTAACACTGCTGTACATTATCCATGAATGCTGTTAAGAGTAAATCCTAAGAGTTCTCATCACAAAGAAAAAAATTTTTTTCTCTTTCTTTAAGGTTTATATCTATATGAGATGATGGAGGTTCATCAAACTTACTGTGATAATCATTTCTTGATGTGTGTAAGTCAAGCCATTATGTCATACACCTTAAACTCACACAGTATTGTATGTCAATTATATCTCAATAAAACTGGGGGGGGACTACTTAAAATATAGATTTAAATCTAATAACAATATTTTAAGGGAATATTATACCTTGCAATATTAACCAGTGATTAATAGTTTATGTACTAATGTTATAAGTAAGTATTTTAAGTATCTATAATTATAAAGGGATGAATGCTTTATTTTTTACTCTGGACACAATGTATATTGCCTGAGAATTACTGCCCCTGTGAGACCCCACTACTGTCTGAATAAATCGTAACATCTCCAGCCTCTGAGGGCAGAAAAAAATCAGGTATGAGGTACAGGTCCTAACTCTTTACAAATATTATGTCATTCAATTTTCACAAGAACCCTAAGATAGATTATATTATCATCACCATTTTTCAAGAGAAAATGGAAGCCCAGAGATACTAAATAACATTTCCAAAAGTTACAGAATCAGTGAGGCTGAGAGGCACAGATCCGGACTGGATCTCTCCAACTAGACTACAGGCTCCCACTGGCTACAGAGCAAGATTTATGCAATTCTGGGACTTCTCATCCCACCATGTGCCTACATGCCTGGGGCATAAATGTTACTGACTTTATGATTCAAATGAACAAAACCTCTTGATGACTGTGCCTATTTCAACTTTCATTCCAGCAAGCTGTAAGTACTTATATCACTACTACACGTATCTGTAATGTCACCAAAAACAGGTTTGGCTGATTTTGCCATAATGTTCCCTTTGTGGGGACTATATAGAGCAATTCTGAAAGCATAACTGCCAATAAGGAAAAATAAAACTTGCAGAAAGGCAGGGATTCTCGCCCAGCAGTATCAGTTATTCTAAGTACTGTGTAACCAGATGATTGTAGTCTTCCCTATGCAGACATGGAGTAAAATAAATAAGAATTAAAGACTTTCACATCAACTATTTAGTCAATTGACTTTGCACATTCAAGACGTTGCCAGATGAAAAAGAGGCAAGTGAGGTTCTAACATCACATAATATAACCACCCCAGCCCACATATACAACTTCTGATTATAACTTAGATTAATGCTTTAAAGTTCTTACTGTGCACCCAGTAGCCAAAGCTGCAGCTCTGAAGCAATCTTCTGCCTTTTTGGTCAAAACTGGAAGTTCTTTCATTGAGGGTGCACGGAAGTAATAGATTAATTCAGAATAAGAGGGAATGATATTGGGTTTTACACCACCATTTTTTATTATACCTATAAAGAGAACCAAATTACTGAAATTGAGCTTGGAGACCATTCATTAAGCTTAAATACACCCATAAAGCTTTTCAGCCAATATGTACATAAAGAAAAATAATTTAAAACTATTAGCTTCACATATATACCAATCAAAGATTTTTATGCTGTACAAGTTTCTATACATAGTATGCTTTCTGACTAATAGGAAAAAAATAATTGTTCTATATGTTCTATAGTCTAAAGAATTTATATGATGTTAAGAAATTATGATTTCTGACCATAAAAAACTATTTGAAATTTTTACAATTATCTTACAGCTTTCTAGAAAAGACTTCTATTTCAGTGGATTTTATTACAGTGGTACATTCTGCTGAGCTTTTGAAATAAGAAAAAACCCAGTGGTATGAGGTTCTATAGTTATTCTCATAACTCAAGAATCCATTTTAAATGGTATCTGGCTTTGGGAAAATAATTTTCATGCCAACAAGAAACCAATGCAGGTAAAATATCACAAAGCATACTATCAACTGTCAAAACAAATGCATTTATTCGGAACTACACTGAGAGGGAAGATATATCCGTTCAAAATAATAACCAAAATAAATATGCAAAATCTAATTTTATATGACCTGGTTTTTAAAAATTGTTTTCACAAATTCCTGTTTATTCCTTTTAAAGAAACTAAGGTAGAGAATTGGTAAAAAGTGCAATTAACAAACTACTTTCAGCCTATAGCAAAATCAGGTAAAGAACAGATGTTAAAGTGTAATAACTTCCCAAATTATAAGGAAATAAACTAAGAAATAAATTTGCACCTTTATGACAGTACTTTATTACTGTATTTATATTAAGGTGATGCACATAATTTTGAAAGATGTTACTTAGGATTAACAGCACTTGAGTAAATAAAACCAGTAACCATACCTTTTTTTTAAATGAGGAAATGACTAAATTTTGTTATTAAGAGACAGTGAGGATAACAGGAAAATCAGGTTGGAACTTTCAAATACCCATGGGGAGAACACAGATCTTTACAGAAAAACATTATTTTTTAATACTCAAAATAACCATTCCATTTATACATAAATAATCTTAGCTGTCTTGTTATCCACATACAAACAAATATCCAGGTCCTGTCTCATGACTTTCTGAAAATGTTTAAAACTTTTGTAATATTCACAAAGTATATAAAGTGTTCCCAAATGTTTTTTTTCCATCAAATTTTAAGTAATTACATTGCACTGAAATATATTAAACACCATCTATTACACAAAGTATTTGACATTCATACCATGAACTCTCCAGGTTGGTTTCATTTGCTGTCTTAACACAGACAGATTGTTATAGGCGAGAACAGCAGCATCTAATGCATTTAGTCCTTCCCAGGGATACGCAGCAGCGTGAGATGCTTTTCCATAGTATTTCACAGTCACACTAGGAAAAAAAAATATATCTTTTTGGAATTACTTTTTTAAATATCACCAAAGTAAGAAAATCCAAGTAATCAGAACTATCCAACTGTTATCCAAAATTAATTCACACTGCTGGAATTTTTATTTGCAAATCATCTGTAGCAATAATGTAGCAATATACATACCTTATAGTTTATTATTATGTAATACGGTGACTGACACAAAGAAGGCATTCCAAAAACAGTGAAAAAGAACTTTGCTCTATTGACCTCCTGTACAAATTAAATTTGTACACAATTCAAACAATGCAATCCTGTATGAAGTGCTGGAATTACAAAAAAGGTGGCTTCTATCTCCTTCTACACTGCATTGTGATAGTTTCATATCAAACGTCTGCAAAAACTCAGATAATTCTGTCTTAAGGATGAGGAAAGGTCAAGGAAAGACAAAAAGGAGGTGACAGTTGAAAAAGGTTAAGACAATCTCTAAAAACAGATTATACTCACAATATTATAAGATACTCTAGAATTAAGTCATTTGTTCATTACCAGTATTTTATTAGTGTTCCAAAATAGCTGTATCACTAATACTTTACAATTTTGTAAATTGTTATTCCACTTCCAAATAGTTCTCATATTGGTCTAACTACTCAGCTACAATAAAAAACAATAAGGTTTAGAGAAAGGATTGCATATTATACAGTTATTGGTAAAGACTTGCTTAGATAACACTTTTTAAGCCCCATTAATAGTACTCACATTTAAGTTATTAAAAAGTCACTCTAGACTTAATTGATTTTTAATGAGCTAGATTCAGGAGGCTCAAGACATTTCTTTACTGATTCCAAACATTTTGTTAGCAAAATAAAAACAAGTAGAAGCATCCAAATACATTTTTAAGATTTTAGGATACTTGTTATTTCCTCAATATACATCTTATCATCATCACCCTGATATTGGAATTTTAACAAAACTGGTGATAAACATTATAAAATGGAAAAGGATGTCCTTTATGAAAATGGCTTTAGCACTATTTCTTCTAGGGTTCCATCTATGTACAATTAAAGCACAATAAACTACAGGAAATAAAATGTTAATGCTTGTTTTATATCAGCATTAGTATTTTAGGCCTAAAAAGCTAATTAAAAAAAAAACTGATATGGGATGATATTCAAGACACATTATTTAATTTTAAAAAGCAAGAGTCAGATCAACAATATATTTAGCAGAGTATTTCAGGGGAGAAAATCCTCCTTTAAAACTTAATTTATACATGTACCAATTTTATGTCTATAAATATACCTCAAAAGTCCTGGAAGAATATGTGTGTCTAGAAAAGGGACTGGATGTGGGAAAGGTGATTAACAGGGACACAGTGCTTTATTTTATTTATTGTTAGAGATTTTCAGGATGAACAGATTGGTAATTTTTTTAAATTTAATTTTTTACTTGTTCTTTTTTCCATCTTAAAAGATGGCCAGTGAAGAAACTAAGAAGTTAGATACTAAGAAAGACCTGAGGCCAAATAGGCTAACTTCAGGATCAAGGCCAAGAAGCCTACCTAACCTTAAATCCTAGAAGGCAAATGGGCTGGAAGCCTGCCTGCAGCCACAGGTCCCTTCTAGCCAGAGGCTTTGGCAGAGACTTCGAATCACTAAGGTTTTCCAGAGGTATACTACTGTACACCATCTCTGAAACCAAAGTTGAAGGATTATTCCTACTGTCATAACGCCAATTCCTGGTGATAAGAACAAAGATACCAGAACAGTTAAAACAGTCACCCTTTGAAAACAAAGGATACAGAGAGATGTAAGATAACCGAATGCAATCTACAATCTGGAAGCACTGTTGGGATGGTTCTACTATTACCCTCTAGCTACTGCAGAGGAGAACGTGTGGCTTTCCTGAAGCAGCTGAGCAGTGGCTCCTTGGGACCAAACCACTAAATGGACCACTAACTATTATGGTTGAAATTTCTGATGTAAAAAATTCAAACCACTTCAATGATGCATGCTCCTACATACTAAAAAAAAAGTGAGCCCTTCAACACAGAGAAAGATAAAAGGTTTCCAGGCAAAACAGAAAAGCACAGATTGGCAAATTCCAATCAAATCCATAGCTAGTCAGTTTCTGTACCCTCTCTCAGGAATATAATTAATCCTTTCTGCAAAGAACTCAAAATAAGTAAACTAGAAAAGTGTGTTTTCTTCCCAAGTCTAATAAAGCAGTCTCTTGCAAATCTATTCAGTTGCAAAGGTAACTTCACATCAAAGGATAGCTGTTGTCCAGAAACCAGATTATTCTCAATTCAAAACAGAACATAAATGTCAATATATTCTGTTTGCTATTCTTAAGCTTTTTAGGTACTATTTTAATAGTCCAATTATGAACACCATATTAAATCTCAATTAGAAGAAGCTTACCAAATGTCAATGGAAATGAAATAAGATACCGTATCTTTCAATTTACTTTTTAAATATATAAATATGGTGTTTTAGTCTCCAGTTAAGACACTGAAATATTCTAATAATCTGCTTTCCACTAAGAAGTTTATTTCAACTTTATCACTCACTCGTGTTCAGCCACATCCGGTAGATAAGCAGCATTCTCTTGAGATGGATGGGCCATAAAAACAACATCAAGATTTTTAAAAGCCCCTGCTTCAATTAAATCAATTTTGCCACCACCGTCTTCTTCTGCAGGGGTTCCCAGGACAACTACCTAGAAAGAAATATCTGTGTCAGAGCAAAAGGACAATAAAAAATCCTAGCAGGAAAATTTCAAACAGGTTCTCTATTCACAATCTACATCAAACTATACAGAGAGATTTTGTTCTCTGACCCTTAAATAATGCAGTGGGCATAAATCTATGATGCTAAAATAATCACAAACTTTCAATTTACATTATTATATCAATTTGGTGCAAAGTATGTACTAAAGCCTCTACAGGAAACTGTCCCTAATTTTATAACACAATTTTATGTAATTAATGTTAAAGATGAAAAAAGATAAATACTATTTACTAAGTTCCTCAAAATTCTTTAGGATTAACTTCTTAGAGCTTCTTTTTGACTAAGTCTTTTAGTATATGTATGTAATTATTCTGGTAAGGAACTTTCTAATTACTTATCAGTTATCCTCACAACAACCCTGTGAGGTAGGTGAGTGATGTGGATCATCATTTTAGGGAGGGCAGTTTTGAGGCATAGAGTGAAGTGTCTTGCCACAGGTCACAGAGCAAGTCTTCAGGCAGAGCTGCGATTAGATATCCTAACCTTCAGGCCTGAACTCTGAATCTTTACCAAGTTACCTCTTTAAAAGGTCTTAACGCATTAATCCTTTATGAAAAGCATTAAATAAATCTTAATACCACAGTTAGAAACGGCCAACTATTACACAAACTTACTAATTCGATTCCACCAGCTCAACCAGGCAGACTTACTGGTCACCAAACACCTAATTAAACAAAAGAAAACTTTACAGAATAAACGTTTTACTTTGATATTTAAGCTTAACTTCTTCAAATAATTTTTAAAAACAAAGAAAAATTATCTATAAACAACTAATACACTTTCAAGATCACGTAAAGAACACAATGAAACAAGACAGAAAAAGTCTTCGCTTGCAAAGAGAATCATATGAATTCCATTTTCAGATCAGACAACCTTGCTGAAGCTGAGTATTACCATTCAAAATCTTAAGTGTGTACATTTCCCAAAGTCTTGCTTTATTTAGAAATTAGAAAGCACCCAAACTCTTAAATCAAGCTGCTTTTTACTCTTAACCCTTGACTCATTGAATCTGATGACTTTCCAAGTTAAATCTTGCTGACTTCTCTGAACCTTTCATAAACCTGGTTAAAGATAAATGTCTCCACTGTTTCATGCAAAAAAGCAAAGGATACCCCCTCCCCCTCAAAAAACAAAAACCTAGCCAGATTAAAAATAAGGCCCAAAGGCAGAGAAGAGAAGGCAGCTAAAGAGAAAAAGCCACAAAAGACAGAGTTGTTAAGATAAAAGAGAAAGGTTACTAACACTGGGAATAAAAATAGGCTAAAGAATATTAAAATACAACATTAGTCTTTCCCTTAACCTGAATGGAGTTGATTGAATCTTAGCTCACAGAATGAAGAACATACCATCTGGAAAAAGAGTAACACGAGTTTAAACTGGCTCTACGACTAACATAAACGACATCTCCCCGTTTAAAGGATCCAGCTATTTTTTTTAAAATCGCGAAATACACATTAAAACTTAAGGATCAACTCATCTATGTACTTAATGTTCACTCTCTTCCCATTTTTTGGTATACTTGTACAGATTTTGCAGTTCTAACGACTGAAAATTTCCTACCCAAATACCAATGATTCGAATCACAACAGCTCCTAGGACTGCCACAAACAAAGATTTGTTGGAGCCTAACAAAGGGGGGCCGTAGGTTTCCCTACAATAACTACTTCTTCCTGAGATTGCACCACCTTGTCAGCAAATTGCGGTTGCCTCTGTCACCAAAAATAAGCCGTAACGAAAACCAGGCATGGTTCTAAGTTCTTTCCCAAGAGAGAGAGTCCACGCAATTGTTTACGACTACACAGGAAAGAAAAAGCAAAACTCTGCAAAATGTCGCTATGTCGGCAACTCATGGACTACTGAGTTTGATGCTGGGGTTCTGCCTACTAGCAAAGGCCAGGACGTCGACTGTGGTCCCCTACACATTCCCAGGGTGGGAGGGGATGGATGAGCACGGGAAGCGCCGGTATCCGCCCTTCTCCGGTCGGTCCCGGCCTGGGCAGGCGATGGGAGTCCCACGCTCGGGCCCCACCTCACCTTCACCGGCAGAGGCGGCCCGGGGAGGCCCTCCAGGGCCCCTCTCACGCCCAGCGCGGCTGCCGCCCCGACCTCGGCGATCAGATTGTGGCCGCAGGCGTGCCCGATGCCGGGCAGCGCGTCGTACTCGCAGAGGAAGCCCAGGTGCAGCGGGCGCGAGCGCCGTCAACGCCCTGAGACT